TAGTTTAAATTATAATTTTAGCATTTAAATAAAGGGCATACTTGTCAACTAAGTACATGGAATAATGTGTTCAAAACAGACGTTTGAACTAAAGAGCATTTTTCAAATTATATAAAAGAAAAAAAAGAAGAAGAAAAGAAAAAGAGCAATTAAAAAGTTAAATGGAATTTCAAATTTCAACAAGAAAAGCTATCATATAATATGCATTTAAATCAAATGGTTGGTCCATATCAATCTTTTTTTCTTACTTCTACAGTAATGGTAGGTTCACATATTTTTTTTTTTTTTTGGTTTTAATGTGATTGTATTAAAAGTTCCAAAAATACATCAGTACATATGACATGATAAACGATTTACAAAAATTCGGATTCCCATTTGCAAATGGTAAAAGATCTAGCTGGATGAGTTCCATTCTTCTATCGTAGGCCTTCCGTCAAGTAATACCAATCCTTGAGTAAATGTTGGTGTTTTGAGTTGATTCTCAACCGAGCTGACAGTAGTAAGGTTCGCATCCTCCGGTCCAGCTTGAGCCGAGCGTCTCGAATGGTTTTGTCTTTGCCCCTGAATATTCGGTCATTCCTCTCTTTCCAAATCAGATCCACCGTGAGGTGACATAGAATCCTTATGAGCAGTCCTCTGTTTCTGCTCGTAACAGTGCCGGCCCTGCGTCGCCAGTCTCGAACATGTCCCAAATCAGAAGGTGGAGAATCCCAGCAGCATCTAGCATAATGACTCCATAAAGCGAAACTATAGGGACAGTCAAAGAAAAGATGAAGATGACTTTCCGTGCCAAGACCACAAAGACAACATACAGTATTCACTTGGATTCCCCATCGTTGTAATCGGTCTGTCGTGGGTAGTCTTTGCAGCTTCACTTGCCACATAAGGAGAGCCATTCTCGGTGTCGCAACCGGAAGCCATACCTCAGAACACCAGTCTACCTGAGGGGATCGAGTCCGGATCAAGCTCCAAGTCTGAGCCGAGGAGAACAACGCTTGAAACTCTCCATTTGCCTGCTTCCATAGAATGATGTCTGAGCCTTATGATTCATTAGGGGGATCAATGGCTGCGATTGCGATTTGAAGTTGTTGTATGACTTCAGATCGTGCCCCCGGAAAATACCAGGCAGCGTCAGGTGCAGCCTGTGCAACTGTGGCTTCGATGATTCATTAGGGGGATCAATGGCTGCGATTACAATTTGAAGTTGTTTTTTGACTTTAGATCGTGCCCCCGGAAAATACCAGGCAGCGTCAGGTGCAGCCTGTGCAACTGTGGCTTCGAGAGGCACTCGGAGGAGGCGAGGACCTGTGGCTCCAGCTAGCGCTAGCAAAGGTCCGACGCCTGCCCAGTTTTCAAACCAGAACCTGGTACCCTTGCCATCTTTTATCTGCTTCTTCAATAAGCCTCTAGCTTTTTCCTTGATGGCGATGAGTTTCCTGAGGATCCAAGAAAATTTGTTTGTCAATTTACAATTCCAGAAGCAAGAGGACTTAAAGATATTCTTGTGGATCCATGCAACCCATAAGGATCCCGATTTTGTGAATAAGATCCAGATGAGTTTTAGACGGAAGACTGTGTTGAAATCCTCCAATTTCCTCAGCCCAAGGCCACCTTCCTTTTTCGGTTGACAGATAGTCGACCACGAGATCCTACACGAACCAACAGAAGTCTGATTGTTTTTCCATAAAAAACACGAGCACATCCCATCCACCAACTTCAGGAAAATTCGAGGGAGAGCAAAGATCATGCTCCACGCATTAACCAAGCCGTACACCACTGATGAGATCAGTTGTATTTTGCCTGCATATGAAAGGTAACGGTTGCCCCAAGCCGATATTTTGCCCTTAATTTTGTCAAGCAAAGGTTGATAGTTTGCACGCGTCAGTTTTGTTGGTTTCAGGGGAACCCCAAGATATTTCACGGGGAAGGATCCCCGCTTGATCCCGATGGCCGAGGTGACCGATTCCACTTGTTGTTCACCCATACCTCCTAAGTAGATCTCAAGATTTGCTTTGGTTTAAAGCAAGGCCTGACATCTTACTGAACTTGTCCAGAATGCCCATTGCTCCTTGGATAGATACACTGTCTCCCGAGCAGAATATCATGACGTCGTCCGCAAAAGCGAGATGTGTGATAGAGGGATCCCGACATTTAGGGTGAGGCCTGAAGATACCATGTGCAGCTCCTTCATCCAGTAACCGAGAAAGTATCTCCATGGAAAGTATAAACAAGTAAGGCGAGATAGGGTCGCCTTGCCTTAGTCCCCGTCGGCCCTTAAAGTAACCCGCTAGCTCCCCGTTGATACTAACCGAGAACTTAGGGGTCGTGACACAAGCCTTTACCCAATGGATGAATCTGGTTGGCAAATTAAGTCCATGAAGAACTCGGATCAGAAATTCCCAAGAGAGAGTGTCGAATGCTTTACGTATATCAATCTTGATCATCGCACTTGCCTTAGCTCCTTTACAGTGGTAATCCCGGATAAGCTCTGTTGCAAGGAGGATATTCTCTAGCATTAACCTACCCTTTAGGAAGGCTATTTGGTTGGGTGAGATGAGCTCTTGGAGGACCGGCTGGAGTCGTTTTGTTAGGATAGTCGATATGACTTTGTATACCGTGTTACAACAACTTATTGGCCGAAACTCCGTAAGTGAATCTGCTCCTGCTCTTTTAGGAATGAGGGTGATAATTGTTGCATTGGACTGCCCTAAGAGGCGACCCGTGATAACAAAATCTGCGACTGAATTGATCAGATCTTGGCCCGTAACCTCCCACGTGGCTTGGAAAAATTCCTTGGAGAAACCATCCGGTCCGGGAGACTTGTTTTCCGGCATAGCAAGCAGGATTTGCTTAATCTCAGAAGCAGTAGGAATTCTGGTTAGTTCAGCCTCGATGAGTTCACATATTTTCTTGCATACATAACAACATACTTTGCATTATAACCATCGCATTGCATGTGGAATAATATCTTACAATCTTATTATTTCATCATACATAATAAAAGAAATAAAACTAAGGAATATATAATATATAAAGGGAATTTTAACTTAATATATAACGTTAAATTACAATATATATATACATATGTGTGTGTGTAGGGGTCTTTAAAAAAACCTAATCCGATTCATAGTAGACATAGAGAGAATCCATTTGAGGTGACTTATTCTTTTCATTAGTTGAATAGTCTCTGCTTGTTGTTTGTATTTGATTGTAAAACAGAAACCATTGTAAGCATCTATTCTTGAAGTTCTGATTACGACAAGAAAGAAGCAAAAGAAACATTTGGACAATGGCTGTCTTGATGTGTTATTGTCTTCCCCTTCGCATTGTGTCGTATATATATATTCTAGTATTCTAATAACATATCCATACGATATCTTCAAAACCCTAGAATTATTTAAATTTCAAAAATAATAATTATTTTTAAAATATAAATTTATGCATATAAACGTATAACAATTAACAAGAGCTTTCATTAAAAAAAAAACAAATTAACAAGAGCTCACACAAATTACATCCCCACACGTGTCTTTTTATCATCTCCTCAACTCGAATATTCTTCTATAAGGTAATTCATTTTTTATTAATAAAAATTTACTTTTACTGTTTTATACAATTTTAAAATCACGTAAAAAACTACCAATTCTCATAGAAGTCATACCCTTTTATTCTAAATTCTGAAATTACCACAAATTCCATTTTCTAAACAATTTTCTATTTTGGTCTCTTATGTTTCCGGATTACAAATATATTTTTTGTAGATGTATATTTTTTCCTTCGTTTACTTGTAGAAGTATATTTTTTGTTTTTTTTTCCCATCAACCTGCTCGTATTATATATTTGACGTATAAGTAAATTATATTTTCCGTACATAAAATATTAGAGGTGATGACAAAATTTAAAAAAAAAAACATGGAAATAAAGCAATTGGTTTCTTTATCACCTTATTCCCATTATTCACCTTTAATTTAATTTTGCCCGCTTTGTTCTAGTTTGCTTTCGACGTTTCTTTGTCATTTCTTCGTTATTATTATTATTATTATTATTAGTATTGCTCCATCAACTAAAAAAAAGTCTTTGGTGGACAAATAGTATTTGAGAGTTTTATAAAGGTAAGACATCTTTCTTCCAATTATATCTCATTTTTCCTTTTAATTTTGTTTTTTTTTTCTACAATTCCATCTCCATTTTCTTAATTGTTCTCGTATATGATATGTTGTGCATGAATATTAATCTAATTGATATTTTTAAAGTATTTGTTTTAATGTGAAAATCGATATGTGCAACCATATTAAGGAATAATATCATTGTACATTGTTTGAATAATTTTTACGTCTTTACAAAAAAATAAAATATGAAGACTTAGGAGCTCATATATAAATTTGGGGTGAAATAAGATACTAAATTCTACAAAAAAATGTAAAACATAGAAATATTGATATCATTAACTAGCACTTATGCACAATAAATTTAATGAAAAGAGATGTATGTATAGGTTGATTTCGGGTTCGATTCGGTTATTTCGGTTATAGAAAAACTATAACTATTTGGTTTTATATAAATTTCGGTTCGATTTGATTCGGTTTAATTTTATTTTTTTTGGTATAAAAAATTATTTTTCAAAGAAATTATCAGTTTTCCAATTATTTTTTAATCGATTCATTTCGATTTTAATTTTTCAGAATTAAGAAAATCAAAATCGTTCAATTTTTATATCGGATTCGATTCGTTTATATTCGATTCGATTCGACTGTTAATAACCAAAATAAACATCCTAATATATCCTAATATATACCGTTGGACCCTTTTTTGTTATGCTGAAATCCTCAAAAGGCTAACAATTAATAAACAAATGAACATACAAATATAAATCATTAATAAATATATGACTAATTAATATTTGTTTAATAATAATAATAATAATAATATGTTTTCGGTCCCCTTTATTAACCCTCACTCTCTGCTAATACATCTTCAAAACGTCTCGTCTCTCTCTCTCTCTCTCTCTCTCTCTCTCTCTCTCTCTCTCTCTCTCTCTGACATTTCCTTTGTTTTTTCTCGCTTTCACGATGCGCATAACGAAGCACTTGTCTTGCTCTTCGTAGTTGTCTTTCTCGTGAACACTTCGATAATCTTCACTATCACCGGAATGCGGCTTTTCCGGCGTCTGCTCTTGCTCCTTGCGGCTGCGATGGCGGTGTCTCCGTCAGAGGCCACAGCGGAGTACTCAGCTTCTCCAGCGAAGATCCTGCCTCTGCAGAGGGCTTATCCTCTTGACGAGCGAGTTGAGCTGAGTATTATCGGGTTATCCCTCCCGAATTAGGGATGGGAACGATTTGGGTACCCGAAAAATTTAGGGTATCCTGCCTCCGTATCCGTATCCAAAGGCTTTGGCTTTTTCCGATCCTTATCTTGTCGGGTAATTTCATGATCTGGGTTCATCTCTGTTTTCTTTTTCAAGTTTTGGGTAGGTTCTTGTTCATGTTTCCTGTTTCGTGGTGCGAGTATGTCGTCTTGTTTTCATCATCTGGGTCTCAGATTTAAGCTTCTTTTGACAGTCTCTGTGTAGTTTTACGGCAATTTCGTGATTGTGTGCCGAAACTGAGAGAGTTAGGGTTTTAAGAGAAGGTGTTCTGACCTCGTTCTACCTTTCCCTTCATTATGCTGATCCTGTGGCCTCCGTACGTGATTTTATTGTCTTGGTTTATGTTAAGCCAATGATAAAAGAATCAAAAGCGCATATGTATTTTCTGAGAATTCTTACATTGACATCCTTTCGAGCTGTCGATAAGGAGATGTTATTCGCGTTATCTCGTTTCCTTCTATTGGTTGCAGTTCGAAGACGACTGTGTATGTGTCCTTTAGGCTCCATGTGATTGGATCTTTAGTTTTCTTTAGTTCTCATTGGTTGTGTTAGCCTTTTGGACAAATCTCTTAAAAGATGATGTTTCTGTATGCTGTTTCTTGGTAGGCTTTACTTCACCAAGGTGAAACTGGGTTCTCCTCCTAAAGAATTCAATGTTCAGATTGATACTGGAAGTGACATCTTGTGGGTTACTTGTAGTTCTTGCAGTAATTGCCCCCGGTCCAGTGGGCTTGGAGTAAGTAGTTCCTCTTCTTTTTAGTTGGTTAAACACTTCACAAGATTGAGATGAGCTTATTTGTCTCTGTTTGAATTCATTTCAGATTGAGCTCCATTTCTTTGATGCTCCCAGTTCATTGACTGCTGGGTCAGTCACTTGTTCAGATCCAATCTGTGATTCAGCTTTTCAGACAACTGCAGCACAATGTTCTCAGAGTAACCAGTGCAGTTACACCTTTCACTATGGTGATGGAAGTGGGACTTCTGGTTATTACGCAACCGACACGTTCTACTTTGACGCAATCTTGGGAGAGTCATTGGTTGCTAACTCTTCAGCTCTCATAGTCTTCGGGTGAGTGAGAGCATCTTCTACTAAAGCATTGCCTTGTGTGTACATATATATACATATATATACCCTTCTCTGGCTTAGTGTCCAATCCACTGTTTTTAAGTTTTCTTGGTGATGTTCATTTATATGGAACAGCTGTAGCACTTACCAATCTGGGGACTTGACGAAATCAGACAAGGCGGTGGATGGGATATTCGGATTTGGCAAAGGAAAATTGTCTGTTGTTTCTCAGTTGTCATCACGAGGGATTACACCTGCGGTGTTTTCTCATTGCTTGAAAGGAGATGGTAGTGGAGGCGGTGTATTTGTTCTTGGCCAGATATTGGCACCAGGAATGGTTTACAGCCCACTCATCCCGTCTCAGTATGTGCATCCAAACATTTTCGATTTCTTACCCTTTTATTGTTTCTACTATCTCAAGTTGGTTTTTAGGGGGTTTTCATGAATCTGATGACCTTATCATCATCCGAATTCTGCAGACCCCATTATAATTTAAACCTGCTTAGCATAGCCGTTAACGGGCAGTTGCTTCTCGTCGATTCAGCTGTGTTTGAAACATCAAATAACCGAGGAACTATTGTTGATACCGGAACCACTTTGACATATCTGGTGGAGGAAGCTTACGATCCCTTTCTCAATGCTGTAAGTTCGAGCCTTCCTTGGATAAGCTCTTTATATTATTAGGTAAATGTTTTCTGTGTATTAGTATCAACGTATTGATACAACGTATATATGTAAAAATACGTTATGCCCTTTACTTGTATCTGCAGATAACAAACAGTGTGCCACAGTCGGTAACACCGATCATTTCCAATGGGAATCAGTGCTTTTTAGTCTCTACCAGGTATTTATTTGCCTCTGCTATCTATAAAAACTATTTCCAGATAGAAGTTAAAGATAAGATTCTGTCCTTTTTTTGCTGGTTTAGCGTTGGTGACATGTTTCCTCCGGTTACTCTGAATTTTGATGGAGGTGCTTCAATGGTGTTAAGACCTCAAGATTACTTAGTGCATTCTGGTTTCTATGTAAGTTCTTCTACTTAGAACGAAAAAGGGTTTGGCCATTTTTGTGATCAACGTCACATATTGTCTCTATATCAAGCAGGATGGTGCTGCTATGTGGTGCATTGGTTTCCAGAAAGCTCAGGGAGGACAAACCATTTTAGGAGGTCAGTACTCATCTGAGCTTGAAAATGAAAAAAGCTATTATCGGGTTATCCCTCCCGAATTAGGGATGGGAACGATTTGGGTACCCGAAAAATTTAGGGTATCCTGCCTCCGTATCCGTATCCAAAGGCTTTGGCTTTTGGTATAACAATTCAAAGATCTTGAGTATCCGGATTACGAGTGTCTGAAAATTATTTTAAAAAATCCATAATATTGATGAAAAATTGATTTGGGCATTAAAAAGTTAGGGTACCAGGATTTATACCTTAAGACTAACGAGTAAACACTGAAAATTAACAGAGATATGTCAAATGTACATGGATAGCCGTCACCGATTTTAAATTATTCGTACCCGCATCTGTTGGATGGGTAATTAAGAAAAAACCGTCTTGTACCCATGAAAGATTAGGATACCCACGGGTACCCGATTTTCAGGGATTTATGTTCAACCCTATTCCGAATGAGCTTGTTCCTGAATGGGACTACAGCTTTATCGTAACTCTCTTATGATTTGCAGATCTTGTCCTGAAAGACAAAATCTTTGTGTATGATATTGCTCGACAACGAATCGGATGGGCGAACTATGACTGTAAGTGTGTGTTATTGGATCTGCTAAAACAAAACAACCTATTTGCTCATTTATTCATCAGGACATTGTCTCTGTTTTTTTTTCCCAGGTTCCATGTCGGTGAATGTTTCTGTAACTTCAGGAAAGGAAATTGTAAACTCGGGACAGCTAAGTTCGAGCATCTCGACCCGAGAAACACTTACTATCGTTCTCGTGGCTCTACTTCTTCTTCTTCTTCTCCCCGCAACGTAATTCACCCGTCTTTTTTTTCGTTTTTTTGTCTGCTTGGCTGATGATCCATATTTTATTTTTTAGGTGATCTGCTAAGTCCCCCTAATTCTTTTTTGTCACATTCATTCCTCCTTGATCTTTGATCTTGTGTAATTGTAGATAGTGTTGTTAGTTGAATAGTCTCTGCTTGTTGTTTGTATTTGATTGTAAAACAGAAACCATTGTAAGCATCTATTCTTGAAGTTCTGATTACGACAAGAAAGAAGCAAAAGAAACATTTGGACAATGGCTGTCTTGATGTGTTATTGTCTTCCCCTTCGCATTGTGTCGGTAGGGCTCTTGCGTTTCGGGTCTTGTGGCTCGAAACCCGATCCGGACCGGAGCGTTAAGATTTTGTTTTGGGTTCAATTCGATTATATTCAGATTTGATTATTTCAATTTTAAAAAAAAAATATGACTATTTAGTTTTTATATCAAATTCTTTTTGGTTTGGTTTGGTTTAATTGCGGTTCGGTTTTAAATCTTCGGTATTCCGAAATTGGGGTTTTAACCCTAATAACCCACTTGGGTCGCAGCAATTTCAGGGTACACCACCGAAAAAAAAAAAAAAATTTGCGACCTTATTACGACTAATATATAACTAATATACAACTAAAATAAGAGTAGTTTATTAGTCGTAATAGGTTGTATATTAGTTATATATTAGTCGTAATAAGGTCGCAAATTTTTTTTTTTTTTCGGTGGTGTACACTGAAATTGCTGCGACCCAAGTGGGTTATTTGAGTAATATTCCCTATAGACTACTACAATTAACGCACATGATAATTGAGAGGGGGGGAAGTGATGTGTTTGGTCTAATTCCGTGATATTAGACGAAGAACGTGCCGAGCATGACGTGTTCTCATGGACCGTGATCCGTAATAACCTGGTTGGTTGTGGAATGCAATTAGCACGTGCGTTAATTATTTTCGTTTATATCCTTTTCACCCGATTAATTTCATTTATATATTCCCTTTTTATACATCATTTGCCCTTAATTTACTTTTTGGAAAAATTAAAACTTCTAAAATTACAAGCATTTTGCTGATCATTGAGTTAAATATTGGTGACTGCCAATGCCATTATATATATATTGGATTTAAACCTTGTATATTAAGTGGATTCAAATTAGCCAACAAGTTAGAATAAAAATCTTTTGTTTAAAATATATAACCTTAATGGATCAAAATAAAAATGTTAATGAGCAAACCTCAAACAAACAAAATAGAAACTAAAAAAAAAAAGAAATGAATTATATCCTTATTAAAACAATTAAATATGTTGTTAATTGAAATACTCAAAATTTTATAAAATGATAATAAAAAAATAATTCGAATAAAAATTTTTTTTCAACAAATAAATCTAAATCAACTACAAGTTAAATTCAAATTCAACCAAAAAAAGTTAAATTCAAATCTAATTGAAATTGTAGATAAAAATGAAGTTATAAATTAAAAAAAAAAAATCGAATCCGAATTCACCACGAGGCCAAACATAAACAACGGTTTAAACGTTTAGCAATGTATTTTTCTTTTGTTTTTTTTCCAAGTGCAATATACATATATATATATATATATATCAATCCACTTCAGATCAAGGAAAAAAAAGAACCTGGAGATTTTTTTTTCATTTTAGGGACCAAAAAAAAGACACGTGGCATAGAGAAGCCACACGATGAAACTGACTATTTCGGGAAGGAGGCGTTTTAAATGGAAGAATCAAATATGTTGTCATTGGACCATTCTCCTTTTCCTTCGCGTGACTCACACGAGCCCACACGTGTAATTATGTACCTTACTAAATAAAACACATTTAATGTAAATCAATAATATATAATCCTAAAAAAAATAAAATAAACATATATTGTTATAGGAACGGATTTTCGAACCTTACTCGTTAATATCCAATGATAATAATTAATAACACAATGTCAAGATCCCATATATTAAAAAACTCAGTATACCGTAAAAAATTAGATGTGTATTAATTATTATTATTATTATTATTATTATTATTATTATTATTATTATTATTATTATTATTTAATGAACTACAGAAGAGAAGAGGAGCGTGAAACAAAACCGCTGAAGAGGCGCGTGAGCCATAGGAGAAGATCTGCACCTTTTTAGCCAACGGCCATACACACACTCTCTCTCTTCCCCCATGCAAATTCTTTCTCTCGCTGATCGGGAAAAAACCTGCGCATATTTAAAAAAAAAAGCTCTGAAACGAAACGCCACGAGTCGCGACCGAAACGCCAGGAATCGCGACGCAAAGGAGTATAAAAAGCTCTCTCTCTCTCCCCGGAACCGTAACGGCTTTTCATCACTCCTACCTGCGATTTCGTTTCCCGAAATATTTCTCTCTCTCTCTCTGTTTGTTTTTTGTGTGCGTTTGTGGAAATCGGAGCAATGGCGGCTGTTTCTGCGGCGTTTCCGGCTGCGACTGCGTCGACTACGGCGTCTCTGTACGTCGGCGACTTGCATCCTGACGTCACTGAAGGTATGCTCTTCGAAGCGTTCGCTGAGTTCAAGAGCTTGGCCTCTGTTCGTCTCTGCAAAGACGCCTCTACTGGTCGCTCCCTATGTTATGGCTACGTCAACTTCCTCTCTCATCACGATGGTACATTGTTCCTCTATCGTCGATTTTTTTTTGCAGCTGTTGATTTGGTTTTCTGGCTTTTGTTTTTCTGATCAGATCTTCTGGAGATGCGTTTCTGTTTATTTATTTATTGTGTTGTTGTGTGTTTGTTGTTCTGAGGCCATTGAGTCTTACCGGATTTGGAACGGAATGGACAATGGAAAATCTGTCTGGATTCACTCGATTTTCTCGGGAAAATCTTTCGTGTTCTACAATGCTAATGCGCATTTATGTTTTTCCCTATATTATTTCTTATTAGCTTTTTTCTCCTTCTTTTGTGTGATCAGAAGACGTGTGTGTGTGTGATTTGTTTTAAGTTGGGGTGTTTGATCCAAATGTGCGCGCTAATTAGGTCGAAATTTGTGTCTGATTATGTCGTTGAAATTGATTTTGTGTCGCTCCCTGAGCTTAACCTATAATATGAACTATTTCTGTCTAATTATTGCAGTAAATATGATATTTGACTGTAGAGCGTGGAATTTGGTCGGTCATGTTTCCGTGTCCTGCTTCCATTTTACAAGAAACAGAAGTAAAAGTTCAATAATTTTTTTTTTGGTATGATTGATCGTACAAAGCTGTGAAGTAAAAGAGGCATCATATTCCTGATTCAATGCTTGTCTCCAGGCGTAATTAAGCAGTGTTCGATCACTTCCTTTATTTGTTTGTTTAATGGGCAGCAAACCATGCTATCAAGGAAAAGAATCACACTACGTTGAATGGAAAAGCGATTCGGGTTATGTGGTCCGTCAGAGATCCCGATGCTAGGAGAAGTGGTGTTGGAAATATCTTTGTTAAGGTATTACTTCATATGAAGCAAATTTAACCTGACTGTCTATCTCTAATGGGTTTTTTTGGTTGCTTAGATTTAGTGCTGATCGTGGTGAATGTTTGTTTATATGTTGCAGAACTTGCCCGAGTCCATCAATAATGCGGGCCTGGAAGATATGTTTCAGAAATTTGGGTACATCATCTCCTGCAAGGTCGCGTCTTCTGAAGATGGAAAGAGTAGGGGATACGGTTTCGTGCAATTTGGGTCCGAGGAATCTGCACTTGCTGCAATCGAGAATTTGAATGGATCCACTGTTGGTGACAAGGAGATGTAAGAACTACTTGCTCACGAGCCTTGTTATGTCAGTGGTTTGCAATTATATATATATATATGTGATATCTGATACTTACAATTTATCCAGTCTTAAACTTATATGCATTTGGGTTATCTGTTTGTAGATATGTTGGAAAATTCGTGAAAAAGAGTGACCGTGCATTGGCTACCCCTGATGTCAAGTACACAAACCTGTACATGAAGAATCTGGACATAAATATTAGTGAAGATATGTTGCGGGAGAAGTTTTCTGAGTTCGGCAAGATTGTTAGCCTAGTGATTGCAGAGGATGAAGATGGAACATCAAAAGGGTTTGCCTTTGTCAACTTTGACAACCCAGAGGATGCAAGACGAGCAGCCGAAACGATGAATGGAGCACAACTTGGTCCGACCCATCTGTTTGTTTCCTAAGAAAACAACTACAATTGCCTCACCAGCCTCGTTGTATTATTTACTGTTTTCATTTTTTTTTAACTGGATAGGCTCGAAGACTCTATACGTCGCAAGGGCACAGAAGAAAGCAGAACGAGAGCAACTGCTAAGGCGACAGTTTGAAGATAAACGCAAGGAGCAGACTATGAAATATAAGGTATTATTACCTTATTATCTCTAATCTTCCTTGGTTTTAACGACCTATATTGAACCTCCTTCCATGTTATCCTGGAATTGCAGGGCTCAAATGTGTACGTGAAAAACATTGATGATATCGTTACCGACGAGGAGCTGAGAGAACACTTCAGTCAATGTGGCAATATCACTTCTTCAAAGCTAATGCGTGACGATAAAGGGACAAGCAAAGGGTTTGGGTTTGTCTGCTTTTCAACCCCTGAAGAAGCTATCAAAGCTGTAAACACATTTCATGGTAGGACCCTTCAAAGCATGGTCAAGGACTACATTATCTATCAGTATTTAGTACATATAATGGATTCCGTACATTGCAGGACGCATGTTTCGGCGCAAGCCACTCTATGTGGCAATAGCCCAGAGGAAAGAGGATAGAAAATTGCAATTGCAGAGACAGTATGCAAAGCGTATGTCAGCAATAGCCGCGGGATCTTCAACAGCTGCAATGCCAGGGACATACCCTCAGCTCTACTATACTAATCCACCTTCTTCTATCGTTTCGCAAATGAACCCTCAGGCGGGGTTGGTGTATCAATCCTTGGTTTCAGCTCCACCAACATGGAAATCCACTAGCTTGATCCCCTCGCCAAGGCCTACCTTTCAAGCAATATCATTTCCCATGGTATCGGTCTCTGTTTTCTTGCGTTTCTGTATGCTTTTACTCATTTTGTCGTCTCGATAATGGCTAATGAACAGGGATGGGTACGGGTCAGGGTACCTGAGGTTTTCGATTATACGAACTTGAATCTAAATGTCTCGGGCCTCACAAGATGTTACCAACAATCTCAGATTGATTCCTATCTCGGAACCCGAACCAGAAGGAGTTTTGTTTTTCCTCTGAGCCCTACTAATGAAGGTAATACCTGGATGATTTCTACAGGCTCCTAACGCTCCGACACAAAACAGGCAAAACAGAGGTCGGATGAACAGCCATGCCGTCTCATATGTACCGCATATGCTACAGTCTTCTCAGCTACTCAAGGACTTCACCAACCAGCAGCAGGTATTCCCTCCCACTTTTTTTTTCTTTTAATTCTTATTCAAGCTGTAAAATATTTTGACTTGCGTGTTGAAATGTATGACGAAGCGGGGCAAGTACAATAGCCGTGGAAGGGGGGAAACGAAGAGAGGATCAGCCACAAAAATGGCGCCGGAAACACTCAGTAAAATGCTGTCTGCGGCCTCGCCGGAGCAGCAGAAACAGATACTTGGGGAGCAGCTCTTTCCTCTCGTGGAGAAACTCCAGGTGCCGTGGAATTCTTGGCATGAGCATTTTGCTTTGCATGGGGTTTGGTGTCTGATAAAACGTTTATGTCTGCAGCCGGGACTGGCGGGGAAGATAACGGGGATGCTTCTGGAGATGGACAACTCGGAATTACTGCTACTGATGGAGTCGCCGGAATGCTTAGCTGTCAGAGCCGAGGAGGCGGTTAACGTCCTAAATGCGTCGAAAGCATCTGGACAAGACGCTGCTCTTGCCACCACGGCTCCTTACTTGTCTTCCGAGGTTGCCGTTAACTGATGAGAACTACACTGCTGCCTCTCTATCTCTCTCTCTCAGCTAATACACAGTTTTTTTTCTTTCCTTCTGGGGATTTCTCTCTCACACATTTGCAGGAGGATATTATTGTTTTTTTTTTAAATATGCTTTCTTAAGACAATATGATATTAGTTTTGGACGCATTTGCTGATTTTGAATTCTTTATCATTAGTACTGATGGTTTGAATCATCGTTTGCAGCTGCTCTCATTGCAAAACTATCATCATTACATCAACATCGCCCTTTGTCCCAAGTTTACAAAACTATCATCAATACCAGAGAGAAAAAAAATGCCCCCCCATCTTCACTTAAAAACCAAATACTCACGGTTCAGTGATAGATCATCACCATCATCATCAGTAGTGGTATGTTTCATTGTGAAGTAAGTGGGGATTGCTTTGTCTTCTTTTATTTGTTTCTTCTTTCAAATGATAATCTTTGGTTTTGCAAAGTGGATGCCACATAATGCCTCACCTCCCCCATTGATAAAAGTTGTATGCACTAACATGGCTACAATCATATTCCGTTTCTTTTTTACACATTTTCCCCCCAAATAACATATTTACAACTACAAATATCTTCCAATATTACCACATTTCAATTCGGTTCAATTATTTATTGATAAAATATTCATTTTAAAAATAAATTTTTTCTGGAAAATTTAATCCATTCAATCTTTATGTCGTAGTATTTAGTTCTGTTTTCGAAATGGCCACCGATGCATAAATATTGGAAACCATGACATTATCGAAAGTGGATTTCACACACCTAACCAAAAACACAAACAAAAAGAGCACGAGCGTAATGATGGCCATTTTCACAATCTTTATTATATGACCAAATCTTTGTATGACCTCTCCTCCTTCCTCGCCACCAAAACCTCCACTCTCTGCTTCTTCTCTCTCTTTCTTCCTTACCCAATGCTCTGTTTCTGCATCACAGGCAATAAAATCTCCCAAAAAAAAAAAACATGGGTTTTTCTGGTTTTCTTCTTCTTCTTCCCCTCTGTGCTCTCCTCTTCTTCTCCCATGTCAGAGCACAGTCCATAGTTCCTGCAATCATCATTTTCGGCGACTCCATTGTCGATGTCGGAAACAACAACTTCTTGCTCACAATTGTCAAGTCTAATTTCCCTCCTTATGGTCGAGATTTCATCAACCGTACCCCAACCGGTAGATTCTGCAATGGAAAACTGGCAGTAGACTTCTCTGGTAATGTTTCTTTTCTTTTTTTCTCTCTTTACGCTTCACCTTCTCATCTCTCTCTTTTATCTTCTCATCTTCCATTTTTCATCTGTTCCTCCATTGCAGCTGAGTATACGGGCTTCTCTTCGTACCCGCCAGCTTACCTTAGCCCGCAAGCAACCGGCCAGAATCTTCTTATAGGAGCTAACTTTGCTTCTGCATCTTCGGGATACTACGATGCCACAGCTGCATTATTCGTAAGCGAAAAAAAAACAATACAAAGAGAAGAAGGCATTGGGGTTTTCTCACGTATTTTCTTTCGCAGGGTTCGATCCCACTGACCCGGCAGCTGAACTATTACAAGGAGTACCAACACAAAGTTACCAACATGATAGGAACCAACAGAGCACATAACTTGTTCTCTAAAGCTATCCACCTCGTGAGCGCAGGATCTAGTGACTTCCTTCAGAACTATTACATAGATCCCGTGCTCAAACTCCTGTATTCACCTGACCGGTTCTCAGATATTCTCATGAGATCCTACTCAGACTTCATCCAGGTACTTTTACTACTCCTAACTATGGCAAAAGGGGACTGCTCATCGAGAAAAAGACTTAAACTTTCATGACAAAATCCATGGAGAAACAATGTCATACACATGAATTATCAAGCAAATGTGCAATAGTAACAGCAAATTTACAATGAAAAAAGATTATTTACCCTTATTTTCTGTCACTAAGAACCAAAGTGTTTTCTGTAACAGAATCTGTATGGACTAGGAGCGAGGAGGATCGGAGTGATATCATTGCCACCAATGGGGTGTTTACCGGCAGCCATCACGCTCTTTGGTCTTGGAAGCAACAATTGTGTAGAAAGGTTGAACAATGATGCAGTCATGTTCAACAACAAACTCAAGGACACATCTCAAAGCCTAATCAAGAAGAATCCAGGCCTCAAGCTTGTTGTCTTTGATTCCTACCAACCTCTCTTAGACATCATCACAAACCCAAGTGATAATGGTAAGTGCCTGCAAGATAAATTTACATACTTATTCAACTTAGACCATGAAAAGTTTCAATATAACAATCAGATGTGTGAAGTGAACAATTAATAAAAAAACTTTTTTGTATCTATTCTAGGATTTATTGAGACCAGAAGGGCATGTTGTGGGACAGGAACAATAGAGACCTCCTTCCTTTGTAATTCTCTATCTATAGGAACATGCTCAAATGCAACAGGATACGTGTTTTGGGATGGATTCCATCCATCGGAAGCCACCAACGAGATCTTGGCCGGTCAACTACTCGGACAAGGGATCTCTCTAATCTCTTGAAGCCTATTCCATCCCAGATAGGCACTAAAACTGTACACTGACATAAATTTTTATATGTCTCTTCTCTTACTCTCTCTATATGTGTCTGTATGTATGTATATGTGTGAGAGTGTTCCAGTGTGTGTAGAGACGTTAAACCCGGCTCATGTGTGATGGTTTTTAGGTCCTAGATTTGCTGAATGGATTACAGTTCTTGTGTGCTATTCTGTGTGTTTATTTTCAGAGTGCTTGAATGGTTTAATATAGCAAGAGTTTTGGTAAAATTTAATATATTCAGACTCGGCTATATCAACAACAACAACATTGTTGTTGATATATGGCAATGAAAAATTATGATACAACCTGTGTTACACTACTAATAGGTATGCTATACACATACAGATATGTATGCATGCATGCCCATACATGTAAGATATAAGTATGTTTCTTATATTTGTTTGGTTAATTATGTGCCAGGGACCACCCACCCAACATTCTGGAATAAACACGATAACACGTTTATCAAATTGGAGGACTCTTAACACACTATCAGGCACTGAATAACTAGTTATTAAAACCTCCAACCGAGTTGAGAACTCAGAATCCTACTTGAGTAGTAAAACCCGAGTAATATCTTGTTCTCGGTCTGTCACTGGAAGTTAGAGAAGCATAATGATTTGATTAGAAAAATGGATTAAATGTTTCACCTGTACCATTATCTGGTCAGATATCTTTAGGAGAGTTCAAATCCTGCATTCGAACTAATGGCATATAGAAGCTTCTCTCTCATGTTGCTTGCACGTTTATAAGTCGGAAGCTGAGAAATCCAAGAAACAATAAGATTAAATCAGAAAATATGGTATGTGCAAGAACAGTTAAAACACACTACCTTGAGAGTATTGTAACAAGTAGAAGCAGATGGAAGCCTTCCCACGTCTTGTCCTCCAATGGCTGCCCAAAGAGAGGTATCACAAGAGACCTGCAAAAGATGAAAATTAGAATTATCACAGGGAATCAACAACAATGCGGAAAAATACACAAAGTTTTAGGAAGTTCAAAAATCAAGAACAAACCTTGTGAATGGTGAAGGTTGGCTGCAAGTATTTGAAGCCAAGTAGCGGTGCCCGAGAACAACTAGTCACAAATTTAAGAACCATGCAACGTTCACTTGGTTCAAACCCTTTCATGACCTGAGACAAGTTGAAAGAAAACGGTGAGGAAGCAGAGAAGGGATCATGGAGTTTAAAAAAAATCACAGAGTTTGTAATTTGACGACAGCACCTCCCAGAAGATTTTGATCGTTCGACTGCTCTCAGAGTAACCACCAGTGTATTTTGTGTTGTTCCTTAGGTCATCGACATCTATATCATGATTTCCTCCAGAAAGTAGCTGCATGAGGTAATAATATCTGTAATATAATCGGTTGGAAAGACAAAAAAGTTTCAAGAAATTAACGCATTTAAGAGACATACCTGATTAAACTCGTGGGCATTAAATAGTTTCAACCAAGAAGGTGATATAAGATCGGTCAATCCTCTGTAGAATGCATTGGAGAAGGGCAGAATCTGCGATCCAGAATATATAAGGTATTTTTTTCTCCTCCGATGGCTGTAGATATATTTCCCATGATGTCACAAATTAAAAAAATGAAAAAGAAAACGAGACCTGCCGGTTCAGTTTATGGTCAGCCATGGCATGAATATATTGCATCTTGTTCTCATTCGTCACTGAAATGTCTTTGCCACCAGGTTTGAGCTCAATAATGCTCCTTTTGCCGAAATACTCTTCAGTTACCGTGAAATCCAGACAGAGTTCTATGACATCACCATCATAATGCTGCATACAAAACAAAAGCCTTCATCATCTCAGAAAGTATCACCAGTCCCACATACGCACAACTGGATTTTGTCACAACAAGGGTGATTGATTCATCAACAGGCTGTTGTCTTGCCTTAATATACACAAGGTTCCTGTAGAGCTCCGGATCTAGCCCTGATAGCTCATCAAGAAAGCTATACCGTCCCAACAGCTTCTGGATAAAAACATGCGAAAAAGAGTAATCCAGTAATATTCCTTCATAAAGAGCTTTACCAACAATCCTACCGAGGAACTCAATCATCTGAATCCCATCCTCAAGGTGTTGAGCTGATGGGCTTGGAACAAGCAGTCTCTCTGATGTAGGAGTTTGGGAAAATAACCCATACCTACCAGGAAAATGAAGAAGCAGAAACGACAACGAAACAAGTTAACACCTTGCATATCCCATATAATAAACCCAAATAAAATAGGCATCATAAGCAAGGGCCTACTCAGGAGCAAATGCTGCTTTTGTTATGTCAGTCAGAAACTCTTTTGACAGCCCACCATAGTCTAAGCCAGCCTCTGGAAGGCCAGACTCATTCACAAACGAGACATGAATAGATGATTTCAGCTTGGAACCAATAGAATTTAGTTGCCGGAATCCATCTTCAACCACATGACCACGACGAACAACTATCTCAATTGACCTTGAACCAGGCGCATCCACCTCACCAGCCATTTTCCTCGAGGCTTTATCCACGCTAATAAACTCTCTAAAGACATGGACTCTGCAGAAGTAGAAGAAACCATGTGAGTAAACACCCTTTCACAGAAAAAGAGAACTTAACCACACAAAAAAAGAAGATGATGGGATAGACATCAGCAATATCATACCCATGGAGAATCTTCTGAACCATATAATAACTGATTGACCAGGAGTTCAATTTCAGCACAAGAAAATACTTTGGCTAGGCGATATTAGAGGGAAACAATGTAATATTACCTCTCTTCGAATGGAAAGACATGTGGAGTGATTGTGATAACAGAACCCATGCTTGGAGAGGTGAGAACATCATTGGCTGACACAACCTCATGAGTTCTGGCAGCAACAGCAATTGGAGGTCTATTGGTTCTACCAGGAGAAAGCCATAAAGCAGGAGGGCAAAAGGAGTGCCTGCAATCTCTTTCATACAGTAAATGCAAGCATCTGACAGCAGAATCCATAAATTGTCTGTTCTCAGGGCTTGTGCCACGCAACAAGCCGTTGTACACAAGTGTGTTTAGCACAGCCGAAATTCTCCGTTGTTTCTCTAGCACAAAGGGTACCTAATCCATGCCCCCAAAAAAAACAAAAAAAGTGAAAACAGCAAACCAGTAAACATATCAGTTTCAGGGTAACAAAAAATATGCATTACCTGCTTTTCATAGAATTCTATGTCATCAAGCACAAGGAGTAAATGCGAATAGGTTGCACAAAATAGATGGAGCAGGCAAGACACATCTTTGGATAGACCAAGAGGACCACCCCTTAAAGTTTCCACATCCCAAACAGTATTGGTTGGTTCCTCGTTGACCTGGCTTGATTCAGGCTGACCTCTAGCCAAATTCATATCATAATGCATTGCCTGAGATTTACCAGCAAACTTGTTTAGCACATCCACCAACTTGTTGACGCCATCATTCTTAGGAGACTTCACTTTCTTCTCAGAAACACGCCTCTTATTCAGTGAAGATTCAGTGGAACTACGAGAAGAATTGCCAGCAGTGTGAACATTTTCAGGGAGGAGGAGACTCTCAAGAGAACTCCACAGAGAGACAAGGAATCCAGGACAGAAGGATAACATGTTAAGGACAGGCAAAGACCCAACATGATTCAACACACCAAAGATCCTCAGCATGGATGAATAAAACCGTGCAATATCAGACAATTCAAGCTTCTCTGATCCTTCTTGATTGCCCAATGATGCACTCTTCTCTGTAATAACTGGAGTATCTTTCCTTGAAGCTGCCAAAAGTTTCACAAGATGCCACTGCTGACATATTGGTCTAAGCAATTCCAAATAAGAGATCTTAATGGAATTTTCTCCCGCGCCACTTTCATCTGCCGAGGCTTCAAAATCACGATGAATATCTTGATTTCCAACATTTTCAAGCCTAGATAAGAAATTCTCAGCAAGGGTCATCGCAGCATGCACATAGGAGACATAAAACATGTGAGGAATTGATCCTTGTGGATCCACGAACCCGTTTTCACTAACTGTAGCCAGGTATATAATGTTTCCAAGAGCCCACCCAACAGGAGGAATCACCATGGAGGAGGGACTTTGTTTCTCTGCACGCCCTATTTCCAATAGTCTGGTCAAGACTTTATCCCACGAAGTCTGCCATCACCTGCCACACTTTAATCAGTTCCTTGCGCTTAACAAAATCGGCAAGTTCAATGTATGCAATGATAAAACACTGACAAATACAAGGTATAAAAATTTATTCCAGATTCTTCTAGAGTAAAATTCAGTGTAAATTTTACCAGTGAAGTGCGAAAAATCGGAGTTAGAACAGTCCTGTGCTTCAGTGCACATATGAGAGCACTTGGCAGGCATTGAGTTAGCCGAGGAATTGTTAGTACAGAAGCAATATATTCTTCAACAGACAAAATTATGTCTGGTTGATCACCATCAACAAAATCAGACTCTCTCATGTGAAACGGCCGTATGGCCAAGGTTACCGCACTAGTAGTAATCAACAACCTGTCATCCATTTGCTTGTTTAATGTCAGGAAATATCTTCTAACAGCCGTGTAATATCCACTTCTACGGGCTCCTAGAAACAAAATGAGCATCTTTCCAGCTATTTCTGCATCTTTAAAATTATCCTTTGTAATGCCCTTCCAGCTCTTCGGATCAGTCAAAACAACAAGAATACGTAATGCAAGGGCATTAACAACAATAACATCTTTTATCCTTTCATGTGATTTATTACACTCCGTTAGGAGGAAAGCGCATAGAGAAACCAGCTTTCGTGTTTGGCAGGCCCATGCCCTTCTCTCTTCAAGTGTACCAACTGCTAATAAACAGAAATTGCAATTCGGATCTACGAAATACCCAAAAAAAAAAAGGCACCCATTCAGAAACAGGAATAACGTGTATAATCAACAGACAATTATAAAGAAGAAACAATCATACCATTAGAGTTCATGCTCTCCAATAAATTCTTAAAGCAAGTCTGTGTGCAGCTTATGTCTCTTGCTTGTATCTTTTGATATTGAACAGATAAAGATCTGATAAAGAAAAGAAAGGGTCTCAAGACGCTGCTTGATACCCAACTTCGGGTGACCGAACCTGCATGGTGATTCAGTAAGATCTCCCATTCTTCTCGTAGTTCCAAAGCCGCCCTCTTCCTCACAATATAGGACCTCCAAACTCTCTAAAAAGATTGCAAGACAGTCACATTTGTGCCAATGTTTCCATAGATAAGAAAAGTATGTTAAATACCAAAATGCATCCATAAATTCCTGTGCAAAATAATCCTGAGATTTTGCTGCCAAGTTTTGGCTGATTCACCACTTTTTTGGATAGGATCAACCATCTTATTTCTGACATGAGCATTTGCTTCTTCTATGTCGATAAATAACACGAAAAATAATGAGAGAACTGTACTAAGCCAACAATACAAAGTACCTGAATGAAGAGGGCGGCGGCATTAGCCCGTCTTGCATAGCTCCGTAGCTCCCTTTCTTGCGATACCTTTGCAAGCAAATCATCCCTTGAAATCTCCCCAGTACTAGCACCTCTGAGAGAAACCTGACATTCCCATTCACAAGATACACAATCATGCATGCACCATTAAACATATCAATTCAAACTCTGATTGATGAACAAACTTCCCAATCAGCCTAAGTTTTTGTCAGATCCAAACCATTAATTTTCCACCAAATTGGTAAAAACTCCAAGTAAACTCATGTTTCTACTACCCCAGATTAGGGCTCCCAAATCAAGCATCTCAGACAAACAAGAGCCTGAATCTTCCACCGGCTCTGAGTCGTCTAAATTCCCAAGCTTTCTCGAAATTAACATCGACCCAGAGATCGAAACGAGTATGACCGACTGAATTCCCATTATTCCACCAATTTCACAGGTTAATTTCCAACAAAATCTGAAATTTCAGGGCGATATCAGTTAAGATTTCGGAGGACATGAGATCTCGAAGCAAATTAAAGCCGACCCAGGAATCAGAAACAATCAAAGTTGTCAATATACGAAAATATCTGGTGAGAAGGATTGCCCAGATGGATCGAGTGAACAACTAACGGAGACGACACAGAACGAGTACCTTGTTCTTGCGAAGCTGGTCCATGAATTGAGGAACCGATCATACGGTACGAAGACAATAGAAACCCAGCAGCAAATCCTCGTCAATCTTCCTTTAGCTTTCGCGATTTTGTTTCTGCTGATTATTATTCTCTTTTTTTTTTGTTTGAATTCAGGGTCGAATTCGAATCAATGCCGAGAACCAGAGGTCGTCGGATTTTTTGCCCACGCTGTCAGATCCTTTTTTTTTTTTGTTATTGGTTGGTGTTGGAATATTTATGAGATCAACAGTCATTTTATTTTTGCCGAGCACGAAAATTTCCACCATAGCTCAAAGCTAATCTTGGTTCATTGTTTTTCATTTTGGTTTTTACAACTTCCAATTTTATTTTTATTTCATTATTTTATTGATCTTTTCTTTTATTTGATTCCATACTCTTTCTTTTTTATTTTTTTTAAATGAAGTACATATCATAATTTCAAGGCATGTCAAGTTTTATATATATATATATATATAATTGAAATATATGGTTATCAAGACTTGGTTAAATTATGAGTTAGTTTTTATTTAATATTGAAAGTAGGTGTATAAAACACCTTTTTTTATTAATTAATGAAATTTCAACCCCTATGTAGGATATATAACCAAAAAAAAAATAACTAATTCCAAAGCCAACCAAAAAAAAAAACGTAACTTGTCAACAAAATGTTGACAAAGAAAAATAAAAAAAAAATCCAAGATTGAAACCCCAACTTAGAGACCAAGTAACCTAAACCCCGCAAGAAGCTTCAACAGCGAGCCTCTTCTCTCCATTGCAGTGACTTGCACCAAAAGTCTCGTCCGAAACCCTAATCACACACCTCTCTTTCCCAAGGCATTTCTGCATATATAGAACAACATCAGATGAAAACATATATATGTATATTTGTAAATATATACATACACAATACAATATGCTTTTTGGAAGCTCCATTAGAGTTTTAATTAGGGGTGGACAGTTTCAGTTCAGGAATTTAGTTCCGATTTTATTTGAACCGAAACCGAATCAAATCAATCTGATTCGGTTTTAATTTTATAGAACCGAATAAAATATTTTCGAACCGAAACGAACCCAATAAATACCAAACCAAAATCCAAATTATCCAGTAAATATTATGGTTTAGTACTAATTTGATATAATTTTTATAAAACCGAAACCCTGGTTTTAAATCTTTTAATTTAATTACCTGATTGATAATGTTCATGGTGTGGCGAGCGCCACAGCTGCCTCGGCTAAAATCGCCGCAGTCGCCCTCGGGTTCTCCATAATCAGCGAAGTGAAACTCTTTGAAAACGCTTCCTCCTTGGCAAGACAGCTCCAGTGTCTTGTCCTCATAGGCAGTTGCGCAGACTTTGCCTATCGTTACGGTCTGTATCTTCACAAGCTGAGGCGACCCTCCAAACTCATCAAACACCACCATCACATTGTCCTCGTACTCTTTCAGGAACGATCTCGGGATATGATACCTTTTGAAAAAAAAAATCATGGGTTTAGGGTTTAGGGTTTAGGGTTTGTTAATTAATAGGTTTGAACATTTCCAACGACAACAATTATGTTATGGATGCGTAATAATGAATCAAAACCCATTAGGGTTTCCTAATAGGCTCGAATGTTTCCAACCATGACAACTATGTCATGGGGATGTGTGTAATGAATCAAAAACTATAAAGAATATCATGTAAATGATGAAGTGTATATATATATATACCATCTCTGAGTAGGTTCGCCGCATCCCGTCACGCATTTTTCGCCCGAGTATGCGCCTCTGTAGTCGCAGTTATCGTTGCAGCCCTTCGCCTCGAGGGACGCCCAAAACCGCCCGATGCTTTTACCGTTAACCCAGACCTCGCCTTTGCTCAACCCTCGAAGATCCACCACCACGGGATCCGTCCCCAACGGGGTCGGGAACGTGGCCTGTTTCAAGGGCAGAAACGTCATTTTCACGAATTCCGGCCCGACAAATCTAGTCTTATGCTTCGGGGTTTATAATGTTTCACTATACCTTGTACCAGACAAAGGGTCTGTTGGATGGGAGACTGGTCGAATGCCATGCACGACGTGCGTTGTGAATCCCTGCCTCGTAGAATTTGTTTTCTTCTCCGTACAATCCGGACTTGTATATCCATAAACTCGAAGATACGTTCTTGATGATCTTCTCCCCATGATTCTCTCCTACCAGTTTGACCGGACCCCAAATGCCATGCCTCGTCTCATCGAAGAATTCTCCATAGTTCTAAAATCATTACATATTGTTTACGTTATATATACACACACACATACACACATTGTTATCGATACGTATATAAAGATATAATCAAAGACATACGTTGTATCCTACTGTGGTGCTGAGAAGAGCGATCTCGTTCTTGCCCCTCTTGATTTTGATGCGTTTGTCCATCACGAAATCGTTCGAACTTACCGAATACTTGTAACCTGAAATCAAAAATGTAAAATTTCGTTTATAACCCGATAAGAAAAACAAATTTAAACTTAGAAACGTAAAAAGAAAAACGGATTGATCCGAAAAATTAATCACCGAGGTATTTCTTGTTGAAGAAGGCATGAACAACGTGCCCGTTGGTGTGAACATGGAGATTGATCTTCTTCTTGCCCATGAGAGAGTCCCTCTTTTTAATATTCACTCTATAACCAAGAAACAATGGCAAAAGAATGGTTATAAACATTATTTACAAGATTTGCAAAACGGTTTCCTGAAATCATTCATTCACATTTCCTTATTACCTTGTGATATACCAAAGATAATCGCTGGTATCATTAGCGATTTTCTGGTCGAGGAGACTGTGAGACATCATAAGACTTCCACGAACATGTCCTGACTTAGACAGTCCCACGGGTTTGTCGTCTCTCCACACCCAATTCAATCCTCCAAAAGGGTTCCCCTCGTAATTATCGTCATCTTCCCCGTTCGTTTTCTTCACCATCACCGAAGTCTGAGCATTCACCTTGGCCGTATTGTACACTTCTGTCTCGCAGTCAGGTAAGATGCTTACCGACCATCCCGGTACCCGGTACGTCGTGCCTTGTACGGTTATGTCTTTGTCTTCTTGGTAGACATTTGCCAAGAAACACACTGATTTGCCCTTGTAGCTATACACGGTTGCCTGTCGTTACAAGAAATTCGAAAATGAATTCGGATTCTAACACGTTAATATATAGAGTTTTAAGGATTCGTACATTTGCCCATTGTCCGAATCCGGTTTCGGATTTTTCTCCATAGAGAAGAGGCTTCTCAATCGATTTCAGAACCTTGTGAAGGCTCTTTAGATGTCCCCATTTCGGTTGGTTCTTGTTACCTGAAAAATTTCGAACCCATTATTGAAAATATCAAATCTTGATTAATATATTATAAGGTTCAAAACATAAACATGAAACAAAAAAAAAGGAATATTAGATACTTCTTATATTACCGTATTCATCGAGAGGAGCGTTGTAATCGTACGACGTTGTAATGAACGGACCACCGGCTGTTCGGCCAAAATTTGTACCTCCGTGGTACTATCACCCAAAAAAAAAACCTATTATTATTATAGAGAAAAAAAATAGATTTTTGTACTGGCACGAAAAAAAAAACAGAGACTGAAATTGTATTTCTAAATTAAAATGTACATAAATTACTAACCATGTAATAATTGTGAACGGAACCACCTTTCTGGAAGAATCTTGCGACGGCGAACGCAAGATCTTCTGCTGATCTGTGAGGATCTCCCATCCCATAATCCTTAAACCTATTTTTGAAGTAACCAAATTAACAAAAACTAGCTCATATATTGATCCTTTATGAAACATATACAAATATATACAGATTTGGAATATATATATATATATATACACATATATATCTGTGTGTAAGTATAGTAAAAGACTGACCATCCACTCCAGTTTTCAGTCCAGACTTTAGGAGCGTTAGGGTTCCTAGGCTTCCAATCATCACAGTAGAAGCCATTGCAGGAGCTAATCTGCAAAAAATACAAAAAAAAAAAATCAAAAACTTCATTAGTCAAGTGTTATAACAAAATACAACATGAGATTATAAAATTATAAGATTTATAAATTCAAAAGAATACCATGCTTTCGGGTGCATCGTCTTGTTGGCACATAATCCACGGTATTCCGATTTTGTAGCTCGTGGCAAGATCGGCACACCACTTCACATACTCTTTTCCCTCGTCTCCGTACTTACCAATCACGTTCCCGTACTCGTTCTCAATCTATAATCGTCCAATTACCGATGGTTTCTTGGGATACAAGTTAACATAAAGTGAGCTTCAAGAGGAGATACGAATGAGATCAAGAACAAACCTGAGAAAGGATGATGGGTCCTCCTTGAGGGGCGAAGAGCTTGTTGCGTTTCATCAAGTTCACAATCATCGTCGTGAACGTTTTCATCTCGTTCTATAAATGCACAGATTCAAAACAAGAATATTACATCTAAGAAAAGGAATTTGCATTATTTAGCTTTGAAATGAAATAAGGGAAAGTGGGAAAGTGAGATTCTACTTTGTAGACTTCGTTGTTGGTTCTTAGCTTGATACCGGGCAAGTTGTGCAACCAAACCGGAAACCCTCTGCAAACAAAGAGAAACACCGATATATCGGTTCAGCTCGGTTATTATACGATGCAAAATGGATGGTTAAAAACACGGTTTACGATTGGATAAATGCATATATATATATATATACCCATAAGTCCATTCTGCACAAACGTATGGTCCAATTCGAAGAATGGCATAGAGACCCTCTTTGTGTACGGTCTTGATGAACCGAACTAGGTCTAGGTTTCCGGAGAAATCATACTACAAAACCAAACAAAACACACATGAAACTTATAAGTAAACTTCTCATCAATTACATGTAAAATAACATGAAGAGTTGGTCAGAACAAAACCTGGCCACGAGTCGGTTCGTGAGCATTCCAAAACACGTAGGTCTCAATGGTGTTAAGGCCACCTTCTTTCGCCTTCTTGATAAGATCCGGCCACATCTGTATATATGATCGAAAATCCGACATAAGCCAAAGATTAACCAAGGTTTTGTCTTGAAACGCATATATATGTAACATGTGAAAAAAAAATGTTTTTGTTTTTCGATTCTAAACCTCTGGTGTACTGCGAGGGTAATGAATGGAACCAGAGAGAATAAGTTTCCGGTGACCATTGAGTTTGATGCCTCTTGCATCATAAGAGACATGAACCCTAGAAGTTGAACCAAACACGAAGCAAAGTGACAGAACAAGAAGTAAAATTATCCTATGAAAGCGTTGGACTCCCATATTTTTGCTTTGGAAATGGAAAATGAGAATGGGAAATGAAAGAGACGCAAGCCATTGCTACTTATATAATCGAGTTTGTTGGAATGGGATAAGATTTTAGGATTCTTTGAAAAAAAATAATGTTTATTTCGATTTGGCTAAGATTTTCTACCTAGATTGTGTAACAATTAATGGATATGATACAGGGTAACAATTTTAAAATATAACAGAAATTGATATTTCATAATGACTAAATTTGAAATTTTGAAAAGAAAGTTGATGTTTTTAAAGATTTTTTTAAAAAAGAAATTCGATATTTTTTTGATAGTTTCTGTTGTGACTTTTTAGACTCTTTAACTGGTGATTTTCTTGTTGGGTAATTACTTTTTTTTAGTTTAATCCGTAACATATAGTAATTAAGTTCTTAATCCGACCAAAAGATACACTTTCACATTTATTTTTATCTAGTTTCTGTATAGCAATTGATATAATACACTGAGGTCACGTGTATATATATATTTTTTTTTTGCTATTTTTTAATAGTCAACAATAACATATCGGTCACGTTTAATGTTTAAAAAAAATAAATTAACATATATTTTTATATAAATATCATCCATATTTTTTTATAATTTTAAAAAACTTATTATGTCAATTTTTATTTTTTCAAACTGCTAATATTAACTTATATTTGGGAGATATCATATTAACGTAATTATATTTTTTTTATTCATTACTAGATCCATATTGTTTTTCTTTATAAATATATAGCATCTCTATTTTTAAAATTTTCAAGAGAATGTCAAGTAAAAAAATAGGTTAACATAATTAAGTTTTTTACATGGAGTTTGTTAAATTTGGATAATATCTAAAGATTTTTTAAAAATAACTGTAATGGTTGTTTGGATATTTTTGTTGTTACTTTTAGATTCTTTGGTCTGCTTGAACGATTTTTCTTGTGCAATTAATTCTTTATTTTAATCTCCACCATATATAATATAATTTCGAAGAAGCTATTTGAGTACATTTTACTTAGTTCGTATGTTTAAAGTATCTACTCATCTTTTACCCTCGTTATAATTTATCGAACTTTATTATATCAATTTATAAGAGAGAAAAATAAGTAAATGTAGTTGTTTTTCATATTTTTTTTTAAACAAATTTTTTGTTGGCTACTCTATATTTTTTTTAGAAAAATCCCAAACAAGCACTGTTTTTCTTTTTAAATCTATCATCATTTTTCCGCTAAAAAGAACGCATATTCTATATAAATTTTATCTCTATTTCTTAAAACTAAAATGTTATTATATCAACTTACAATCATAAATTAAAATAGGTTAATTTAGTTTAATAACTTGGTTGATTTTCACCTTTTTTGTGACAATCATAATATTAACCTATATAGATATTACATCTAACTATATTAATGTCGTTGATTTTCCATTTTTGTGAAAATGCTAAAATTAGCCGATATTTTGGATATATACATCAACCTAATTATATCATTGGAAATGTTTTTCTTTTAATGTCAATCAACAACTTTTTTTCTCACTTGGTTAGACTTTTTTTAAAAAAATATATACCTAAAATTTCTAACTTTTTAAAAAAGATTTGTTAATTGCAATCGTACGTTAGGCGTGGACATAATATTCGAAAAACCCTGATCCGTTATTCGATTCGTATCCGAATAAAAAATTCGGATTTTTGGAGTTTATGGAACAAATACGGATATTAGTTTTAAAATATTTATTGGATATAGATCGGATACAGATATCACAATAGAATTATCCGGCATATCCGATTCGATCCATACTTTTTAATAATTTTAATAATTTATAACTAATTTGGTAATTATTTTATATTTAGAGGTAACTTTGTAAAAAGTAAAAGATATTTTAGGTTTTTTTATTTCACCTTCTTTCTTCCTTTTCTTTTGCCCGTCAAAGATTCCGCCTCCCTCCCTCCCCCTCTCTTTTACTCTGCCATTGTTGGTTTCTTGAACCTCTACCAAAGTCTCACTATCTATTGATTTGTATTACATTTTAAAATATTTTCTTTGCAAATTTTTCGTAGAGATTCAATATATGTTTTCTACAAAGATTCATGGTCTTTAATTTTTTGAATTTAAACTTTGAATTTGTGATTGTGTTTAAGTATTTTGAACTTTGGATATCATTTGTATTTGATAGATTATATATTTTATTTGAGTTTTATTTTTTTTATGATTTTATTAATCATATTTGTTATTTTTTTTATGTTGGATACGTATGTTCGCAATTATCCGCAATTTTTATCTATATCCAAAATTACGGATATCCGAAAATTACGGATCGAGTATGGATAACAAAATTTGGTATTTATACGGATCGGATACAGGTATCACAAAAATTCCGACTATCCGATCCGTGTCCACCCCTATTGTACGTAGCATAAAATAATTCGTCCAAAATATTAATACTTCTGTCTAGTTTTTTTTATAGCAATGTATATCTAATTGTCCCCTGAATGATAATTGAAATTAAAGTTATGTTGCGTATTTTTTATTATGAATATCATACATTCTAAAGGTTTGAATTGAAATTTTGTTCTGTTTTAAATGTTAACATTAGAGAATCATCGGATTTTATCAATTCTTTTTTGTATTATAAAGGCTTATTACATATATATGAAATATTTTTTTAACTTTTTCATATTCAACAATCTCAATAAATCAATTAATACATGTCAATCATATTTATCCTTATTTTCTTCCATATTTCATACTTCTTTTTGGAAAATTTTATCTTTGGCTCTTGAAAAAGTTAATCGTATACACACTTTTCAACAAATCACTCATTCTATTCACTTGTAAAGATTGTGAATATAACTTTTTTTCGTTCGAATTTAACCTAACTCACAACTCCCCTTGAATTTGTTCCCCTTTACAACATGAATTTTATTAGCAAAACGGACCCCAAGTGTTTCTACACTCCTCTGAATGGTTCACCACTATTATTACTTTCGGGATTGATGACATGCATATATTAGTATATTTTTGTATAATTTATACATTATATTTTACGATATTTATACATTTATAGGCTTTATCGTGTACAATTTTACTCCGATTTCGATGTTTTTATATTTCGTAGGAAAGAGCGGAAAACGTGCTTCACGGAGAAACTTTCAGGAGATTCAGACGAAATCGAATGAGTGCAAAAATCGATCTAAAAAACAAAACAAAAACGATGGCGCTATCGTGTGTAACGATGGCGCTATCGTGTGTAACGATAGCACATCGTGTGCATATAGTATATAATATATATGTGTCAGTGAGTAGTATATTATATATATATATATGTGTGTGTGTTAGTGCATAGTATATATTATAGATAAGTATATATATATATATATGCACATATATATTTGTATACGCATATGATTATATGTATATATGATTTCTAGAAATATCGATGTTGCTGATGTTATGAAGTTCTGCGAGGGTAAGAAAGCGAAATTGAAGTCTGAGTTAGAAAACGTTCGTAGTAGGATATGTTTAACCTCTGATCCTTGGACAACTATTACTCATGAAGGTTATATTTGTGTGACGACACATTATATGTGTGAGAATTGGAGAGTGTATAGTAATATCATATCATTTTACTCTATGTTTCCCCCGCATATAGGAACAGAAATATGTAGGAAAATACTTGATTGTTTGAGAGAATGCCATGCTTAGAGAGAAAGCTATTTTCTCTCACTCTTGACAATGCTTCAAGCAACAATTGTATGCAAGACATGTTGAAGTATCAACTCAATATGCAAAACGAGTTGTTATGCAATGACAAATTTTTTTCATGTGAGATATTGCGCACACATCTTGAATCATATTGTGAAAGATGGTTTGAAAATAATTTGTGATGTTTTGGAGAATATAAGAGAAAGTATGAAATATGTTAGAGGTTCTGAATCGAGGATGAGAGATTTTAGAAGCTGTATAGACCAAATATAGTAGTGAATAGTAATATCAGATCCTTTTTGTCTATGGATGTGTCTACACATTGGAACTCTATTTATGAGATGATTGATATTGCTCTCAAGTTTCAACAAGCTTTCTCTTCTCTTGAGATGATGGATAGAAATTACAATTGTTGTCTGTGTAGTCAAGAACTGAAAAAACTATTTCCTAAAACCCTTTGTTGAAATTACTAGATTTCTGATTCATTTTATCCGGCTTCCAACTTGTGCTTCATGAAAGTATGGAAGATCGAGTTGCTTTTAAAAGAATATGCGCGGAGTGAAGATGATATTTTTAAGAGCATGTCTGAAAGGATGCAGTTGAAATTTGATAAATATTGAGATGAATATAGTATCTTCTTGCCATGAGAGTCGTGCTTGATCCGGGGATGAAGTTGAAGAGGTTGAAGTATTATTGTTATGACCAAATTGATAAAAACACGAGCGAATTTAAGATGGACAAAGTGAAGAGTAAGATGTATTTAGTCTTTGAAGAATACAAAGCTAATTTGACGGTGTCGACTTCAGAAACTCAACTCCTTCAAATGTGACAGGTTCAAAGAAAAAGATTAAAAAGTCAAACTCTTTACCAAACCTATTCTTTTTGTTCATTTTATTATTTCTTCCAATTAATGGTTTATTTTTATTATAACATTTTTTCCAATGTTTGGTATTATATAGGATTTATATGGATGTGATGATGATGATTCTTCGGACATGGATCGAGATCGACTTAGATAGGTACTTGTTTGATCGTAAAATGAACATCAAAATCCATAGTGATATGGACATTTTACAGTATTAAAAGGTTAACAGCGGACGATATGACGTGAAATTGGCTCTTATGACATCAAATATATTTAGTATTTCTATTACTACGATTATTTCTGAGTCATCTTTTAGTGTTGGTTTTCGCGTGTTGAATAAGTATAGAAGTCATTTTTTACCTTCAAATGTCCAAACTTGTTTATAATGATATTTAGTTTATTTTAAGTTACGTATTTTTATATTTTGTTTTACTTTTTATTATTAATGATTATATTTATTTATAAAAAAGTTTAATTAATTTATATTTGACTTTGCAGATTTCTTTTTTAAATTAGAGTTTGTCCGAACCCGAACTCGAACCCTATAAAATTGGGATTGGATCGAGTTTTATAGACTCTACAAAATTCGGATTGACCCGAACCGAACCCGAAACTCTCGGACCGATTGCAGATTCGGGTTGGATCGGTTCGATTGACACCCTACTTTTTATGTCAGAATACTAATATTAACTGATAATTTGTATATATTAACCTAATTGTATCATTATTATTTGTTTTTGTATAATTAGCTATTTTTTAGTCCTTTAGCTATTAATTGTTTTCCCTTAGATTGAATCCTTTTAGTGTGGTATTGAACATGATTGAGCAATAATGCAGTTTTGGACTCAACTACTGTTATTGCATATCGGATTAGACTTTATGATAGACTTAAATTATGGAAAAATAAAAAAGAATTATCTGATATATAAAATTAAACCAAATTGAATGATATAAAAATATATACGAATAAAATTTGATTAGAAAATGTTTCCAAAATATTTCGAATTTAGATTAAAATTAAATAAAAAATAATAGAAAATATAAAATAAATTTAAGAAAAACAAATAATATTAATAAAATGAATACTAATTAAATCGGAATTCAAGATAAAACTTGTAATTAATAAAATTTTTGAAATTTAAAAAGTTTAAACTCAAACCAAAATCTAAAATATCATTGAATACATTAGAAATGAAAAATAGTTGTTACTATATAATTCTAAATGTTTAAGAAAACGTAAGTCCACATATAATCTGGAATTATTTTTTGTTAAAGGAAATTTGGAATTCTTGTTTATGTCAAATGATATTATTAATTCAAATTATACCTATCAGAATGTTTACATTATCTTTTTTTCCAAAAATCTAACTCTTCTTTATTTGGGTAGTCGAAAAATTCTTTTATATAAATATAATGCGTACATTCATATATACATAGCCATACATATGTAAATGTATACGGATATGTATCTCTTTGAGGTCCTAAATAATATAACCGACTATTATTTTTTTGCTTAGACCTTAAGCCAGCCATCTGCATGCATGAAAATGTCCACGTGGCGTGGTTCCTTGATGAAACGATATGTTCAGCTACGTGTCACGTCAAAGATCATTGGCCGGTTTCGGTGACATCAAAAGGGTAAAAGTGTCCAAAAAGAGATACTTTACAGTCCACGTGGCAGTCTCTCCTTCATCGACTTCCACGTGGCACCACCACTAATCCAAACACTTCCTATAAAAAGTGGCAAAAGCGCCTCGAACAGTCAGAGAGCAAAAACACAAACAAACACTAATCACATTTAGCAAAACCAGTCGTGTTCTTGTAAGAAGTTTTTTGTTTCACAAGCAAACCAAAAGAAAAAAACAGAGGATATGGCGTCAGGACAGAAACAGGCGGAGGCGGCGGCAGCAGCAAAGAGTACGGAGAGGGCCGAGACGGCGGCAAGGCCGGCGGCGGATGATCTCCGAGACGTGAACCAACACGGCGGAGAAGTGAGGTACACTGTGACGGAGAGGATGACGGAGCATCCGCCGGAGCAGCAGAAGTCCGGCGTGATTGGGTCGGTCCTGAAGGCGGTGCAGGGAACGTACGAGCACGCAAAGGATGCCGTCTCCGGAAAGGGCCACGAGGCGGCGGAGAAAGCGGAGGAGGTGAAAGACGCCACCGCTGAGAAGGCCGGAGAAGTGAAGGATCGGACAGTGCAGAAGTCGAAGGAGACGGCCGATTATACAGCAGAGAAAGCCAGAGAAGGTAAAGACAAGACGGCCGACAAGATGGGTGAATACAGAGATTACACGGCGGACAAAGCGAGAGAGGCGAAAGACAAGACAGCGGAGAAGATGGGTGAATACAAAGATTATACGGCGGATAAGGCGAGAGAAGCTAAGGACAAGACGGCGGAGAAGACGGGCGAAGCGGCGGAGAAGGCCGGAGAATATAAAGATTACACGGCAGAGAAGGCGACAGAAGGTAAAGACGCCGGAGTGGGTAAGCTCGGTGAGCTGAAAGACAGTGCGGTGGACACAGCGAAGAGGGCGATGGGTTTCTTGTCGGGCAAGAAAGAGGAAACCAAGCAAACAGCAGTCGAAGCAAAGGACACAACCAAGGTTATATATATGTGTATATATACACATACCATATTGGATTGATTTCTGTCATATATTTTATGTGTATGTAATATTGGGGTGAATGCAGGAGAAATTAAGCGAGACGGGGGAAGAGGCAAGAAGGAAAATGGAGGAGATGAGATTAGAGGGTAAGGAAGAGGCAGGAAAAGCTTATGAAACCAAAGATTCCGCCACAGAAAGGTAGATAAATTATGTGTATATAAACCTACATGTGTGTGCAGTCCAATGATACATCTTAGGATTCATATAAGTGATATAAATATATTTGGACCCATGTGGATATATATATTGGTGGTATTAATTAGAGTGCTTGTTTAGGTTTGTAATTTTTTTTTTGATATTCGATTATGATAAAATTGAGTTCGGTTAATCTACGAGAAAGTTTGTCTACTTATTTCGGTTCAGTTTTAGGGTTCATATAAATGTTACTTGTGAGTCTACACGTGCGCGTATTTCAATATTACATTTTAGGATTCATATTAAACGGTTTAAAATATTTGGATCCATGTGCATGTCGGTGGTATTATTCAGGGTGCTGGTTCTGGTTCGGTTCCTAAGAACATTTGTTTTCGGTGCGTATTGGTTGGTTTTCCTTATCGGTTTTACTAGGTTAGTAACGTTTTTCTTTTGGTTCAGTTCGGTTTTATTATAGGTCAAGAACGTATTGATTTTTGTTTTTCTTCTCGAGTTCATTAGGTTAAAGAACGTATTGATTTGAGTTTTCTTCGTGGTTTGGCTCAGTTCAATTCGGTTTTTCCGGTTAAGAACGTATTGGCTCGGTTCAGTTTTTTTCCCCTTCAAGATTCTATGAATGATACGATAATTAATGATATAATTAATTCGAATATTTATTAGGGCAAACGAAGGAAAAGGAACGATAATGGGAGCGATAGGGAGCGTGACCGGGGCGATCAAGAGCAAACTAGCCATGCCCTCCGGTCAGGACGAGGGTGACCGGACGGGCAGCAGGAGGACGACCGTGGAAGTGAATGTGAAGGAGCCGGTGGCCGAGTCTCTCAAGGCCTCGGATCAGATGACCGGTCAAGCTTTCAACGACGTTGGAAGATTGGACGAGGAAGACAAAGAGGGCAAGGGCAAAGTCAAGCTGTGATCTTTTATTTACTTGTTCATGCTCTTTTCTTGTGTAATCTTATAATTTACTTTTTTTTTTGTGTTGTTGGTTGTAATGGTTTTTTGTAATAACAAAGCGTGTTCCCACCTTCGAGGAGGTGGTTTTCTCCTCTAATGTCTTTGTTGAATTATCTGCTTGGGTTTCGATTTTTTTAAATATTCGAATTTGTCATTTAAAATAATCCGTCTTCATTAGGTCGAATTTAATATACAAGTCAAGGTTTTTTAAAAACTAAATAATTGGATCCGAATAAACATTTGAAATTTGAAGTGAAAATAATCGAATCTGAATATAAATAAATAAATAAATAATTCAAAATGACCACATCAAATCGCGAGTCACAACGCTGGTCTCCTCCAGCCATGCAAAAACACAGTGTTAAAAGAGAATCGTGCCAAGATGTTAGGGTCGTAAATGTGAAATTATAGATTGGTCGATTTAAATAAACAAAAAATAATATCATAACCATTTTCTCTCAATTTGATTTCGCTGTCCCTATGAATAAAATATAATATGAACGCAATATATGACACATAAAAATCATGATTTTCGTTGAGACCACAGGGCAGAAAGTCATGACAATGACAACGATGATTCACAACCACATGGTTCTCTTGTCTCGCCGTCGTACATGTTATTGTCTTATTATTATTATTATTATTATTATTATTATTATTATTATTATTATTATTAATATTATTATTATTAATATTATTATTATTAATATTATTATTATTACTGCATCATATGTGTCTTCTTTTGTTCATTTATATTTAAGGTAAACGTTATTCTTCTCCCCAAGAGTCCGAGTAAAAAATATGACTTCTTATTTGCGTGATATATACATACGGACACACAACAAAAATATGCGTCCATTGTTTCATATAATTTTAACTTTCATTTAAATATCTTTAAAAATATTTCTTTTTTAAAATTTTTTGTTTACTTATTTTTTTTTGTATAGTCTTTAAAAAATTATGTCCATAAAATTTAATTTAAATAATATTATATATGACTGAATTCAAGTAACTTAATTTTGTAAGCTCGAATCAAAGTGGGAGACCTATTTACAAATCATAAATATATATATATATATAGAACATGGATTATAACATAAAATACTTAATTACTTAGTAGTTGTTGTAAGAATTTCTTAGAAATGCCACAATTATAAAAAGCTCCAATCCATATTAGTAGGCCTTGTGATGTGCCCTATTAGGGTTGTGTAATAAATTTGTAATAATCCATTTCGTGGCAGACTTTAAATACATCGTCATTTGTATAGGTAAAACATCCCATCACGCAAATAGTGATGTCCAAAAATAAAAATGCATACAATTATTTTAAAACACATTATTGATATATCCCATAAAAAGACAAACATAGTTTTTTTCTTTGTAGAATTTTGAAATTGTTTTAGCAAGTTTTAATTAAATTTTACGGAGAATTTATAATTCAATATATGTTAGAGGCTCTTTTTTTTTTGCTGAGTTTCTTATTCTATTTTGTGTATTTTAATTTGGCAATTGAACTTAGTTTATTGGAAAAGACATTTGTGAATGACGTGATAGATAATCAATATATTGTTAAATCTACAAAAGCAAGCAACCCATTTATGGATGTGTAATCTGATTCGATTAGGTATCCGAGTTAAATTAATCGAACCTGAGTGATTTATATACTTGATAACTATAAATAATAAACATATTCTTAATGTTTATTAAAATTTATGAAATATTTTTTGAATTTTAAAAATCGTGACTTTATCTTAATATCTTTTATATTTCACTAACAAAATACAAAATTATCTAGTTAGGATTAAATAAGCGAGACATGTGTAAAACTTAAATCAATTTTTTTTTTGAAAATATTCCAATACAAATTTAATTATTGGCTTGTAATGTGGATCGTCAATCCTGGTTTTTGTATCACCCTTTTTTTTTATTAATATACCCAAATTATATCAAAAAAATTAATTAACTGAAAAATATTCTCAAAACTCTTATTCACCTCTTTACTACTTTTAACTTTCTAAATTATACATAAATTCGCCCGATTTTCAGTTAGTTTTCGATTAGATAATAATAATAATAATAATAATAATAATAATAATAATAATAATAATAATAATCACATGGAAACGTATACGATTTCACTTTTAAATGTAAAAAAAAAATGGTTTCCAATTTCAAGACGACCTCCACGAAGCGTGCGAGAAGCGCCAAAAAAAGACCATTCCTATTCGGGTCGACAACATGAACAGCTGTGACGTTATCGACCAATCGCCGATAAATGCGGGACCCACACACGTAAGCGAATATTCACCTCTTATAGTTTATCAATCCATAAACCAAGCATTTATTTATAATAAATTCTTTTAAAGTGCGAGTCGTATACACACACACACACACGTATGTATAAGTGGAAAATGTTGTTTCTCGTATATAGTCGTTGAATTACTAATATTATGATATGATGAACAATATATATTTATGTAACGATACCACTTTTGTTTGTTGTAGAAATTGCCCACAAATTCGATGAATATTTATATTATAAAAATTATATTGAGGCAGGGAATGAAACACTAGTTCTTGAAAAAATCAGGTGACAATGAACTACATCCACATGTTGTGTGCTCTAGTAAACGTATCTATTTTTTCTTCTACATTTGTACAATAAATATATTTTATTTAATTTGGTAATTTCCATTTGTTCGTGGTTATTATTAGGGACTTGTACGTCGTTTTTTTGGATCCGAAATTTGTTTGGGAAATTACTAACAATATTTTTTTTTAAATTTCGAATAACTTAAATTTATACCTACGTTTTTTTAACCCTAAACCCTAAAAATCATGTACATTCTTACAATAGATAAAAACGTTAGCATCTAGGATTTAATTTCATATAATATAAAAAACTAATATATCCTAAATTACTATTTAAAAATTCGGACTAAATTACTAAATATCCGTCCCTTTCTTATTTAATTTTGCCTAATCCTCTCAACAAGGAAACGAAAGAAACCCCGAAATATATATATATATATATATAGATTCCCCTCGAATAAATGTCCTGCCATATGACTGGACCACGTGTACAAACCAATCACGCAAGAATACATGTGAGAGTCCCATCCCATGCACTCCCCTCTCCCTCTCTTTATAAGAGGTTTCTGAGCTCTCCTGGTTTTTTAATTTCTATCTCACGGGTTGAGAAGAATCCCAAAAAGAAATAATTTAGGGTTTCTGGAGGGAGAAGAAGAGAGAGGGAGGAAGGAGAAAACGTGAGAGAACTACGAACGATGGGTAGAGAAGGCACTAAAGGATTTCTTCTGTATCTTCTCGTGTGTTTCTCCGTCGCCGTCGTTTCAGTGTTTCATTTCGGAGATTCTTCGGACAAGACACAACCCGATGTTCTTCTCTCTTCCTCGTCTACGCTCTCTCACTCCCCGAGAATCTGGCCGGTAAGAGTTCCTCCTTTATTTTCACGGTGGATAGTCTTCGTAACTGTTTGTGTTTATCTCTCTTCTTTATTTTTTTTAATTTTCTGAATATTCTGTGGTACTGAAGTCATTTTCAAGAATCATGGGTTGTTTTCCCTTTTTTATTTTTAATTATAATCATAGTTAGTCGCCGGCCTAACCAATCATTTTGAATAAAAACAGTTTCCCAATTTGATTACGACACGGAATAAATAATATTTTCCAGAGCTTTCTTGTAGAGCTGAAATTCTCATGGCGTACGAGTCTCCTTGTGGGTTCCGACCAGCTAGAGATAATGGGCTTACGAAATTAATTTGTAATTTCTTTTTTGGATTTGAGAGTCGGAGACGTGTAAAAAAACCAATGAGTGATAAGCAATCAAACTTTTCTGTTTCCGGGTTTTGTCTCGGCACCGAACAGTAGAGAGTTCCAAGAAGTTCGGAACGAATCTCCGGTCTCTGGTTTGGACACAAAAAAAAAAAGAGGAAACTCTGGGTTTTGATACTCTTTTGTTCTGTTCTCTAATGTAGGATTTGGAGTTGAGTTGGAGGGTGGTGGTGGCTACTGTGATAGGGTTCCTAGGCTCTGCTTGTGGAACCGTGGGAGGAGTCGGAGGCGGCGGCATTTTCGTTCCTATGCTCACTCTGATCATCGGATTCGACACCAAATCTGCTGCCGCAATTTCGAAATGTAATTCACTTTTATTTCTTTCTTTATAAGGTTCTTCAGCTTCAATCTTTCCTTGAACTTTGGCCTCCAAAATCATAACAAAGTTGGGATCTTTTTACACAATCTGTGGTAGAAGCACAAAGATTCTCGGGTTTTGTCACTCGGGTTTGTGTAAATTGGCTCTACGAACTAAAGGATTGGATCATGTAACAACATGGACAGACTTGTAGGTGTAATATCCAGATAGATAGATATGGATATTAGATGTAAAACATGGAGTTGATGTGGGTTCTTTGGTCTATGTTTGAAGGTATGATAATGGGGGCTTCAGCTTCATCGGTTTGGTACAACCTAAGGGTTTCCCATCCAACAAAAGAAGTTCCCATCATAGACTACGATCTCGCCCTTCTCTTTCAGCCCATGCTTCTGTTAGGAATCACTTTCGGCGTCTCCCTGAGTGTTGTTTTCCCCTACTGGCTCATCACAGTCCTCATCATCATACTATTCATCGGTATTGTTATTATTATTATGCAGAGACTGAATTCACCTTTCTTGATTTTCAGACACAAAAACGAGAAACATCCTGTATGTTTCATTGATTGGGTTTCTTGGCTTTATGAACAGGGACTTCTTCAAGATCCTTCTTTAAGGGGATCGAGATGTGGAAGGAGGAGACAATTTTGAAGGTAGTTTCAGTGCCCTTTTCTCTTTCTTCCTGCAAGTGATGTTTAACAAATATGGATTACTGAAAGACGGGTTTTGACAGAACGAGATGGCAAAGCAACAAGCGTCGATAGTTAATTCCCGTGGAGAACGTACGCGAAATCCCTCGACCGTTTTCTTGCTGTCATTTACCAGATGAACTGGGTTTCCATATCAAACTAACAAGAAAAGTGTATCTATCTCTGTTCTTGCAGTTTTGATCGATACCGAGTATGAGCCGCTCATCCCCAAGAAAGAGAAATCAGAGCTGGTACGTATTCTGAAACATTGGCCCGCTGTGAAATTTGTTACACATTTGAATGAGAACCAAGAATCATCAACATGCAGGAAACAGTATGCTCAAACCTCAATTGGAAAAGGCTTCTGGTTCTGGTAATCGTGTGGTCGGCTTTCTTGCTCATCCAAGTTATCAAGGCAAGCCAAAATGCTTCGTCATCTCCCTAACATTTTCTCGTATTCGTGATTATTCCCGGATCTAATCTTTTAACGTTGATCCTGCAACAGAACGAAACAAGGGGATGCAGTACATGGTATTGGGTGCTTTTCAGCCTACAGGTAAATGAAATTGACGTGTGCTCTATGAGAGCATAGGGGTATTGTATACTGTATAATACGACACATATATTGAAAAAATACAGTAGAGAAACCAAGGTTAAGTTATTTACATAACAAGGATAATACCCTTACATATGCTCTGATATGCTTTGCTTCTACTTTCTTGTGCCATTGGCTTGAACTCTCCCTCGTATGCATTTCTGCAGCTTCCTATTGCGATAGCTGTGTTTGGGTATGAAGCAGTGAAGTTGTACAGAGAGCACAAGAAGAGAATCAGCAGTGGAAACACTGAAACAATATGTGAAGCTTCCATTGAGTGGACGCCTCTTAACCTCAGTTTCTGTGCGCTCTGCGGTATTGTGGGTGGCACCGTAGGCGGCCTCCTCGGCTCCGGCGGCGGGTTTGTTCTCGGCCCTTTGCTTCTCGAGATCGGTGTCATTCCTCAGGTATATACATACACATATATACACATTATACGTGAAAAAGCTTCTTCCTTTCCTTCTTTCTGATCCAAAATCTTTCTACACAGGTTGCAAGTGCTACAGCTACATTTGTGATGATGTTTTCTTCATCCTTGTCGGTGGTTGAGTTCTATCTGCTCAAGAGATTCCCCATTCCATACGGTAAAAATCTCACCCACTCTTCGCTGATTCACATTACAAACAAACACCATCCAGAGTTGGGAATGTGTAACTCACCAATCTTCATTGCTTCCCTTCAGCATTGTACTTGATGTCTGTATCGATCCTGGCCGGTTTCTGGGGACAATCCTTCATAAGAAAACTCGTGACGATCTTGAGAAGGGCTTCGATCATCGTTTTCGTTCTCTCTGGCGTCATCTTTGCAAGCGCTCTCACGATGGGTATGTTTCATTTTCAAGATTCTTTTCCTTCTTACCAAGCATCGATCTTTCACAATACAATCGATTCAGACACTGGAATTTAACACGATTTCTTGTCCTAATCTCTTTGGGTATGATCTGAAAATGTCTGAAACAGGAGTTATAGGAGTAGAGAAGAGTATAGAGATGATTCACAACCACGAGTTCATGGGGTTCTTGGGATTCTGCAGCAGCCAATGATCGTTGGCCCTGCCCAAAAGAAGAAGAAATCATTATGATGAATTTGTGTTGTTTGAGTTAAATTGGTTGTTGGCCAATCCTTTGTTGTCCAACACCAAAGAATAAATCTGTGGTAATGTCATTATGTCATGTGAGTTGTTTGCTTGTGGCCCAAGTAATTAGTCATCTGGTTCATGGTTGCTTGCGGTCCAAGTAATTAGGCATCTGTTTCTTGGTCAACTCATAGTTGACCATATCTTAAAGATGGCATTGTTATTGTTTTTCATGTAATTAAATTCAGATATGTGCTGGGAAATTGGATGTTCATTGTTATTATTGATTCTATGTTGCTCTTTGGATTTTCTTGAAAAATCCGGAATTAATTATTTTTTCATATAAACAAGAGGCATCAAATAACTGAGTACTAAATTAAAAAAAATACTTTTTGAATTAATGAAATTTAGATACATTGAAATCGAATCGAATAACTCAACAAAAACATAAAAATCGATCTAAGTTTTTAAATAAAATTAATTAAATACAAATAAATATAACAAATATGAAAAAGTTGAATAAACTAAAAACTTCTTTAAAAATTTTTAAAAAATATATTTTTTTAAAAATAAGATGTTACTTAAATTATTTTAATGGAAGATTCGAGATTTGGACATGTTTGATTTTCTGAGCCAATATTATTATTTTTTTTTGTAAAAACATTGTTTATAAGGCAACAATAATTGGAGAAGTGTTTGGTAAATCTACGAATGTTGTGGATTGACTCGTATGACAAATTGTGGTGCAGCGAAGGACAAAGACTTGTTAAGAACAATCTCACCACATTGTGTTGGTTTTGACAAAACCTATCATATGCACTTTGTCGTATCTAAAACATTTATTATTTAGAAATATAAAAAAATACCTTCTTAGAAAGATATTTAAAAAATATATTTTGTCAACTGTTATTCTAAAGTATATAAAATTTAATATAATTAATTATATTTTTCATAAACACTATAAATCAGTATGCATATTTTTAAAATAGTTTTAACACGTTAAATTTATGCTATGTTTTGTGTGGTATGCTATCAAAATATTATCGTTTATATAAATTTTTTTAAAATTGTTTTTTTTTGTATTTTTTACATATTGCATGGTGATAAAAACTATGTGGTATTACAAAATAAGTTTGTTATTACTGAACAAAAGAGATGGCGAAATCTTTTAGTCGTTGCAAGGAAAACATAGACATACTTTGAAAAATGTCAATACCTTATTTATATATATATATGAAAATCCGAAAATTCATACCTTTAACCCAACTATATCTTCAATAAAATTGGCATGTAAATCCGTTACCTGCAGATATATGGATATCCGGTCTCGTAGATACTCGATACCTAATGAAAACGAAAACGAGTATTAAAATGTAGAATACCCGTAAGACGGATATGGGTACGAGTTTCGAATAGTGAAACAATGGATATTCGGGATACCCACATATATATTAAAATTATAAAATTAATATATTTTTAATCTAATTACCAAAATACCTAGGACTATTTCTACTTTTCTTTTTTGGTTGCCTTTACTTCTTCTTCTTCCGACATTGCAAATAGTATAAATATATATATATATGCACATATATATGTTTTGCTTGTCAACAAATTACACCTTTTTTTCAGCTTGTCAACAAATTACACCTTTTTTCAGAATTATATATTGGATCTTTGAAATTTGGTGAATTCAACTTCAAATCATTTTCTATTTTTGAAAAGTTTCTAGAGTTCTATTGATATTGTCATATTTTAAGAATTTTCAAACTTTACATGTGTTTTTGGACCAAAATATGTATATTTTTTGTTGAATATTTGGTTTAGTTTTATATTGAATAGTATTTTAGATACAAATACATTTACTTGCGGATACCTGTATTTTAGTCGTGGGACCCATTAGACGTATACCCGAATGTTATGAGATAGAGATAAAGATAATATTTTTCTAAAACCCACGAAGATGAAAACGTAGACGGATATCTCCAAAAAATGCGGGTACCCGATCCGTGCCCACCCTAATCTGGGGATATAGCTATAATACCCTCTCAATGCTACAATCACTTCCTCCTATACCCTCTAAACAAAAAATAAAAAAAAAAGTATTAATCATGACAAAAAAACCATAAAACCTCATATAATACGGTAAAGACAAAAATACCCCTCCTTTTTCAATTAAAAATATTCAAAATTAAAAAAAAATAAAGTTAAAAAACAATAATGGCTTTCTCTCTCCTAACCCTCTGTTCATCTTCTTCCTTCTACCGAATCGTGAGTTTCTCTCTCTCAAAACTCTCATTCTACCATCGATTAGTGACATAAATCATGATTTCTCTTTAGAAATTTCTGTTTCTCTTCAAATCTCCAGCAAAATTAGAGAGTTGAAGAAGATATGGCGTCGAGAGCGAAGAACACAACTTCAAATCATCGGTGGCATCATCTTCATCTTCCTCCGAAAGTGAGATCCGTAAGCAAATTTCAGAGTTAAAAGAACAAATGGTAGGTTAACAAACACTTTCTCATCAATTTTGTTGGATTTTGAAATGTATTATTATTGAGTTGAAGTTTGGATTTTGGGTTTTGTAAGTAGAAATATATGGTTTTAGGTTTATGAAATTTTGGGAATTTTGAAATAGAATATTGGGTTTTAAGTGAAATAATTGATTGGCATGTGAAATGATTTAAATCGAGTTAAATGAGTCAGTTTGGGTCACATGGTGATTTAGGACAATTAAATGGGTAACTGTATCATATGGGTCGATATATAGATGTATGAATGACATGATGATTTGAGTCACATGGTCATAGGGTTACAGTGTCATATAGATCACATTGTGGTATGGTCACAGGGTCACATCTTCATATAGATTACAGGATTACAGGTCATACGGTGGTATGGTCACAAAGTCATCTCTTCATATACGTCACAGGGTCACAGGTCACATGGTACCATGTCACACGGTCACATGGTACCATGTCACACGGTCACATGGATTTTGAAACATGATCCAGAATGCTAACATATATTTTTTTTTTGTAGTGCATTGAGGAGACAATGTATGAGATACGACTCTGCGTTTTATAGAATTCGGTGACTTAAATAGGAAGCAATTACATGGTTAATGACACTATTTTCACAGAGCACATCAAGTGGTGGGAAAAATCAGGCGACTTGCCAATTTTAATTTGGGCGATCTCGGGCCCTACTTCAAAGGACATCTTCCACTTGGATGTGCAAGAACATCGTTGACTAACTTTTATTTCAACTAATAATTTATCTCTCTTTTTTATGAACATTAAGTATAACATTCTTTTATTTGTTTATTAGAATACTAAGTTATAATTTTTTTATGCTTTTTGTTTATTTATATATGAAATTTTTTATAGAGTTAACAAAATATAGGTTGAAAATAGTAAACAAATGGATCCCACCGAAACTCTAAATTGTCAACCGTAACTTTTCTACACACTTGGATGATACTAGACTCCACCAGAAATATTGCATGTAAAAATTTTGGAGGGAAAATTTTGGAGGAAAAATTGTTAGAGAACAAAATTTAGATTTAGGTATTTTAAACTCAAACTATTATCATGTTCACATGGTCACATGAGACCATATTGGTATGGTCACATGGTACCATATTCATATGGCCACATAGTACCATGTTCACATGGTCACATGGTGTCATGGTGTCATGGTACCATGGTATCACGGTGCCATCTATTTTCATGGAATTAAGAGTATACTAAAGAAGAAAGCGTTTGACGAAGTACTTTTTTATTTGGAGGAATTGACATCATCGAGTTCATGACTTGAAAATTCGTTCGACAAAGTCTTCTAAGAAAAAGAAGAAGGGAAAAGGTCTGATAAATAGATGCGTGAGCAGTTGACAGCCGTCATATTTGTCAATAGAAATGTTCAAAAGTAGAATTAAGAACTTATTTATGTTATAAACTTATTTCTTTTTGTTATGAAATTTTGTTTGTTTATTATAAACCTACAGAATTTTATGTTATGATATTATGTTTTATGTTTATTTTATATTATATGAGATGAAAAATATTGGAAGATAAAAAATTTGGGTTGAAAAATTTTGGAGGGAAAAAAATGGGTTAAAAAATATTGGAAGATAAAAAATATGGGTTGAAACATTGTGTCCCACCAAAATTAGTGTTGAATCGTCAACCGTAACTTTTTTGCACACTTGGATTACACTGGGCCCTACCAGAAATATTACATGTTCAAACTGGGACCCACAATATTTCGGTCACAATAGGTCACAGTTGGTCACAAGGTCGATTTAGTAGATTCTTTCAAATGAATCGATCTAATTGTCATCACATCTTCCATATGCACTATTTTGAACTATATTTAACTATAATAATTGAGTTATTCAAATTTTGTGTGCAAAAGTAGTTCTAAAAAATGTGATACATTAGTGTTCATAGTCTTTTATGAAGAATTTTGATAATTTTGGTCTTTTTATATTACAAACTCGTTTTAACGTTTTGTAATTTTATCATCAACATAATATTTGAGTTTTTTATACCTTATAATAACATACCAAAGCTTCGAAATTACATTTTTACCTGTATTTACCTTCGTCACTTGGTCACAGGTCACATCCGGTCACAATGGTCACATAGTGTAAAATTGACATTGGTCACATTAGTCACATGCTGGTCACATGGGATTCAACCACTACTTATATGAGATAATTTATTTACTGTTTTTTAATATGTCGAATGAAACCAAAGTATTATAATACATTATTTTAACACAATGTAAAATGAAACCAAAGTATTATAATGCATTATTTTAACACAATATTATACAAAGATCTTAATGTTTTAATGTACATATATAATATAACATTATTATACAATTTATATTTCTTTATTCATTCAAAATTAGGGTTTCACTGAAATTTTGTTGATGTTGATACTCTTGTTGTGACATAGATCCACTTTTGAACTACACTATGATCTGAAAAGCGGTTTTGTTTAGGCCTCTCATTTTTTTGTTTGAGTTCCAATTTCTTTGTACCCTTCATAGCTTTGCTAGATTTTGATACGAGTTTGCAACTATGCATGAGATTGTATTTTCTTACACTCCAACGTTTCGAGTTTAAGATCAATGTCGTACGCAACTTCCAATTACAGCCGGATCCAGTAACTTCCAACACTCTTTGGTTTTTCATCACCTTTCCTTCTCATTCATATTCTCCATTCTTTTTCATTATCCATTTACTTTCATACAGAAAATATACAATTGTGATCTCTTATCTCGTCCGTCTATAATAGT